TCCTCCTTAGTCACTGGTTAGGGATGCGACGCCAGTTGTGCGTTCTTCCACTAGAGGTCGCCACCCCCCCACACACACACAAGGTCCTTGGGCTTGGGTGTGGCCAGGGCAAGCTGAGCGCTCAGGGTGCCTGGGCCAGCTGGTATTTCCAGAACACTGGAGAAACTCAGCCCGTGTGGCTCTTCTCATCCTGGAACTTCTCTGTAAGCCCAGTGCCAGGATAGGAACCACAGCCCACCTCCGGGTTCATAGCCATGTTGCCTGCTTTGTGAAAGAGTCTAAACTTGAGGCCCAGAGCCACGGAGACTCCCTGCCTCTGATCCACAGGTAGATTCCTTTCTGAGGGAACAACCAAGCCCTCAAAGAACATTCTGGAAATGGCTTTCCAAAAGTAATCTTGCAACAGTCAACCTGGTTCCCTCCAGCATACTGTCTCTATGGAGAATGGTGACTTACTAGCTCAGACCAGCCTTGAACTGAGCCCTCCTATGTCTATCCCCTGACTGTTAGGATTACAGGTGTTCGAAGCCAGCTGTGGGGCCTTGGTCTCCAACTACAGGTCAGCCAGTGGGTACCGGGCACATGCCACCCACCCCTTTTGAAACAGTCTCACTATGTGGTCCTAGCTAGCCTCAAACTCACTCTGTAGAGCAGGCAGGCCTGGAACTCACAGAGATCCTCATGCCTCTCTCTGCCTTTCCAGTGCTAAAATTAAGGGTGTGTGCCACCATGTCAGGCCTGCCTATGGTCCTTCAGAGCCATCCAGGGCTGCTGATTTGGTTTCCAGTTCTAAGCTGCTCATTGGGAGAAAAATCCTAAGTGGGCCATGAACATGTCCTCCCACTGTTCAAACTCCCACCCCATCAGCCCCTCCCCCCATATGGCGGCCATTCTTGGACAGAATGCATCACTGTGATGACTTTCCTAGAACTGGAAGTGACATTTATAGTCGAGTAGGTCCCTGAGTAGACCTGACTCTTGAGTTGACATAGTGACAGAGAAGAGCAGAGGTCAGCTAGCAGAGCCTTGGTGACTATATGGTCCCTCCCTCCCTCCCTCCTTCAGCTTTTAGGGGTGTGTTCACCAGCTTACCCATAGAGGAGACTAGATCAATATCACTGAGTGTTACCCTCTATTGCTATCTTCATTTGTTGAGACAGGTCTCACTGTGTAACCCTGGCTGGTCTGGATTCACTATGTAGACCAGGCTAGCCTTGAACTCACCTGCTTTCACCTCCTGAGTGCGGGGATCAACAGAATGTGCCTCTGTAATTTTTGAGATAGGGTCTCATAGACTCGCTGTCCAGTGGGTGGCTGGGATTCCCTTGCTTTTGTGCCCGTCCCCTTTGGTGTTGAGGGTACAGTGCTCACCGCTGTGCCCGGCGTTTTATGTGGACCCTGGGGATGTGAACTTGGGTCTTCGTGCTTGCCAGGCAGGCTCTTTCCCCACTTAACCACCTCCCCAGACCCAGGCCCCTCTCCGTCAGGAAACCAGAGGGCCGTGTGACTGTACCCCAGGAGTTATACTTTATTTAACATTGAAAGGACTAACATTTAATTACAAGGTTGAGGGTGCCTGAAAGCACTGTTTGGTTTTAATTCCACTTCCAGAGACACAGGCAAGTCCAGGACCTGATAGCTGTGAGGGCCTTCCCGACAATGCCACGCCCTCAAGGCTTAGAATTAGTGCAGCACACACACACAAACACACACTCACACACACACACACACCACACACACACATACATGATTTAAAAGGTGCTTGATGTCAGGCTAAAAGAGAACTTGCAACCATTATTAGAGACATATACACAGAGGACAGAAAATCGAAAAGAAACACAAAACTGCAGTTTCTGGAAAAATACTGGCAGGAACAGAACTGTTTTTTACTTTGTGTGAACACTCTGCTATCCTACAGGTGTCAGCAGAAGGCATTAGAGGCCTCCCTGTTCATTGCTTGGGCTGATCCCACTGGCCGAGCGAGCGTCTCAGCCTAGAGGGAGGAGCCATAACAGCTTCACATCCTGCATAGAAAGAAAAGTAAATGTCAAGTTCCTTTTATTTTTGCCTCTAAGTCATCTGCAGGGCAGGTTCTTTTACAGTGAGTCATTCTTGTAACAGCGTTCTAGCAGCAAGGGATGACAGGCATTGGGTCCTGGGGAGAGGGTGGAGAGCTTCCTGGGAAATCCTGCATTCCCCTCCCACAAAACTGGTACAATTCCACAGGATTTCCACGGCAGACCATCCATGTCAGAAGGCCCGAGGACGCCCATCCCCCATCCTTTCTGGACACAGGTTGTACAGAAAGTTAAAAGAGAAGTGAAGGGACACAAAGAGACAGGCACAGGCTTTAACAGTCACTTGGAGATGAAGACTGGCGGCTTATCTGTTTTACCTTTGTGACAAGAGCCTTTCTTCACCCAGAAGATGGAAGCATGTCCTTCATGCATTCCCGAGATCTGTGAGCAGACCTGTAAAAACCACCCTGGTTCCTCATGGAGGGGACAGAGGTCAGGCCCAACGTAGTGAAAATAAGAGGTTCTGGGTACAGATGCCTGGTGACCTGCTGGAGTGGAGCAGGTCAGATTAACTGTGTCAGAGCTGAGGCCCTGACACTCACTCTTAGGTATCAGGCTTCCATTTTGTTCATTAGGCCTTCCTGGCTTGAGTAAGGGCACACCTTCTACTGGGAACAGAAGCCTTGGTTCCTTGGGAAGAGTAGAGGTGGAAAAGCCTGAACCCTAATCCTTGCTTGCTCTTGAAACCCAAAGCCAGGCCCTCATTAGCTGCTCCCCATCCTGGTACCCTGTCTGCTGCTACCTCTGTGGCAGTCTCCTTCTGCTGTAGAGCCAGTGGTACTGTTTGGCTGGCCGGTTGGCATACCAGCCCCAGTTTGCAGAGAATATCTGCATCTCCACAAACCACGGACAAAGCACAGGACCAGCTCTGAGGACCTGCCCTCTCTGTCCCCATCTCTGTGGTTTTTGTAAGATGCCCACATCTTTGATCCTCTGACATGATGCTAAGCTACCCTCTGCCAAGAGGAGGATGCCAGCTTTTCACAAGCTCATGCTCATGGGGTGCCCTTCACAGAGGCTTGTGGCCAAGTCTTGAGTGCTTCTGTACTGGGAAAGGGAAAGAAAGTGTGCGTGTCTGCGATGGGAATGACCACCTCAGTTCTCCCCAAAGGTCGATCATTCTTGAAGGGAAACGGCTTCAAAAGCAAACTCTATCCGTACTCCAGGCCTTCCAGAGCATAGGACCAAATGCAGAAACAGTGGCCAGAGCCACCGGAGGGACCACTAGAGAGAGAGGCACGAGGTCTTTGGTGAAGAATGTAGTTGAGTCCTCAAATGCTACTTACGGGACTCAGCAGGCCACCTTACAGTACTGAGCGAGTGTGGGTGGGGGCCTCCGTCACAGGCTGCTGTCAGCAGGCAGACAGTGCTCACAGAAGGTAGATGCGGGCAAGACAGCAGGGCTGGCCCACAAGCTGGATTTGAGACTTCAATATGGACCTTCCTGGGCCATGTAGATGGTTTAGAACCAGAGTGGGGGTGCGGGGGTGGATGGGGATAGGGTGCCCCAGTCCCACCATAGACTCGCTGGGATGGAGTAAGGAAGGTGCTGAGATGTCAGAGAATGGGACCAGGAGGGGCTGAGGCAGCAGCCTCTGGAGAGAAGGACACACGGATGACAGGCGGGCGCTCAGTCCACCTGACACACAACCGGCCCTCCTTGTCTGAGATTCTGTTAGTCACCAGGAAACCAGGGGCGACGGCTGACAAAGGCACAGTGTGAAGTGTGCAAGGACTGGCCAGGCAGTCTGCAGGTGGACTGGGAGCCCAGGGGCGGGGGCACACGGGCACAAGTCCAGCTGTCTCTGTGGCCTGTGTGGGTGGGGACTGGAGTGAAGTGGACAGCCCTGTGTGGGGCTGAGGAAGAGAACTACCCCCACAAGTACAGTAGGCAGAGGGATCGGCAGAGCCACAGGAGCATGCTGTGAAGGAGAAGGGGAAGTGGGGAGGGGGACATGAGGACCCAGCCTGCAGCTGAGCTGGAGGATGCCCAGCCAGCCCGGGTGGTGCTGGAGGCCTGTGGGGACAAGCGGGCTGGACGATGGTGGCTTCTGGGGAGGTTCCCGGGGAACTCTGGCCATGTGTACTGCCATTAGGAACCTACGACACAAAAAGAAAGAAGAAAAACCCCGAGTTAGAGAAAGCAGCAGGCAAGAGGCAGGCATTTTGCTACTGGCAAACTGCTTGCCTTGAGGGGAAGGGAGGCGTTTGAGTAACTGGTTACCAGAGTGGCTCTGCCATGGGGAGCTTTCGAGGCTTTAATCTTGTTTTGAGACAGGACCTCCTGTAGCCAAGGGTGACCTCAAAATTTATATATAGCTGAGGTTGACCTTGAGCTTATACTCCTCCTATTTCTACTTCCCATGCTGTGGCGTGACAGGCCTGGTGTTTCACTTCCCATCTTTAGCTGGCCCCATTTCTGGACCCAAAAAGATCAAAGATCAATAAGGTTGCCCACTTACTCATCTTCTCAACAAACGGTGCCTTATCTATCTATCTATCTATCTATCTATCTATCTATCTATCTATCTAT